CGGGTTCGCGCCGCCGAGCGGGATGTCGGCGGCGGCGCGGCAGCGGAAGGAGACGGTGGAGGCAGGAGGTGGTGGCAGAGGGAGAACGAAGGGTCTGAGAGAGGGAGGAGAGAGGTTAGGGTGTAGTCGGAACATCTAAGACGATGGCTTTGCCGAAGCGGCCATGGAAATGGCGAGGGATATGAAGGCGATGATGAAGACAAAAAAGATTTAGCATTTGTTTTTTGAGCGTTTGGTTTGCTCATTCGTTTGTTTAGTTTATGAAATTATATATATTTTAATATTTCATATTAAATATAATTCGAATCTATATTCGATATAGTTTTATTTAATATTTTCTAGTATTTAATTATTTTATATTTGATTTGGTTTTTATTTAAATTTGTATAGTTTATTTTAAAATTTTCTATTTATTGGGTACTCCTATTTGGTGTTTCTATTCTCGTTCAATTTTGTTATGTTTGAATTTGATTATTTAAGAATTAGAAAAAATTTCATCTATTCGATTTTTATTTAGATACAAAGTTCGATTCGGTTTATTTTGGAATTCGATATTTATTAATAAAAATAATTATTTTTTAAAATTAAAATTCTATTTTTCAATTATTTATATATTTTGTTTGAATTTAATTGGGGTTCATTTTTTCGATTTTGAAAATTATATGTAATCAATTTTTATATTAAATTCGATTTCAAATACATTACTCGAACTTGGGTCGATTCGGTTATACATAACGGAATCGGAATGGCCACGTAACAATAAAATGATGAATATTGAAGACCAAACAGCCACTTCGTCTTCAAAGAAGCTTCCGACAGTATATTGTAAACTTCTTGAATTGGCTAAGGTATGTTATTCAACACAAACCATAAACTAATGTTTATGTATATATGTATGTATTGTTATATTTATTTTTATATATTATTAAAAATTTTATTTATTTATTTATTATCTTGATATAATCACGTCTATAATCCATATAATAAATCCGTACATCATGCAAGTATTTAAGGTCCCGGGTCTAGGATGAATGTAGTCGGGTCGAAGGTCCGAAAAACCATCATGGTTATAAAAAAAAAAGTATTTAGAATTATTTTGTCAAAATTTATGATTTTGGTAATTTTTAGTTAAAAATTATTAATTGAAGATTTTTTTGACAAAAAAGAATAGTTTAGGTATTAATTTGTTTGATTATCTTTTTTATATTGTATTCTTTGCGACGTCATATTTTCTTTATCTATTTGATTTCTAGTTTAAATTCTGATCAGTTAGTTAAATCAATCACTGAGATGTATATCGTCTTCCTGTTACTACTTACAGAAAAATTTTATATTTCACTAATTTACATTTTACACTAGTTGAGATTAAATTATCATGACTGGTGATCTAATAGTAAAAAAATATATAAATCATATTTTTATTCTAGATTCAAATCCAAACGTGGAAAAAAATATTCATTCAAACTTCTCTATTTTTCCAAAAACTGTAATTGGACCAAAGTAAAGACTAACTTTCGAATTATAAAAAAAAAGTGAGATTAATTTCAAATTCTAGAAACTAAACTCATGCTTTCTGTTTAAATGCACAATTTCTTTCTTTAACAAAAAAAAAATGCACAATTTTCTTGTTTAGTTATCATATCATTCCCATTATTTTTACAGTGTCACGAGTTTTCAAAAATACGAACCGATAAAATATATCGAAAATTATTTTTGGAAAATAAAATAGAGCAAGATATATCACATTTTGCAGGTAAAATCTTTAGACGAAATCCTCAGCCGCGGATGTAGTTTAAAATTTAAAATTAATGGGGGCGTATTCACTTATTTATTTGTTCAACTAAAAAAAGAATTTCTTTATAAAAATTAAATGATTTTAAAGAAAAATTTTAAATATCCCCATTATAAAATTATGTTTTGTTCTATAATTAAATTAAGTTTATCTCCACCTAAAATTTGTTCAGATTCTCCATCGGAAGTAGGGTGTCAATTGAGTCTCCAGACCTGAGGTACGAAGTTTGGTCCGATTCCACCCGAAAAATGTTAGATTTAGGGCCTAATTGTTCCGGTATGAAAAAAAATCAAACTTTTGGATCGAATTCAAGGCTTCGGATCGGTCCGAAGTTTTTTTTAAAAAAATAATTAAAAAAAATTACAAAGAAATTGAGCAGTCCCGTCCGGGTCAGCCCAACTTGATCTGAAGCCGAAATTTGTAGGGTCAACTTCGGATTCGTTTATATAGACCCGAAAAAATCGGACTAGCCCAAGCCTGAGCCTAAAATTTTTGAATCGAATGCACGCTCGGGTGGGTCGGGAAGTCCCTTTTCGTTTATCCACATGTACGAGTTCGATGCCCTTTTGAAGCACATCCAACGACCAACCACAGTACCAAGTAGTTCAAAGTTTCATCTTTTCAAAAGAAAGCTACACCCTTTTTCCGAAATCATTTCTGCCTATTCATGATCTTATGTATATTGACTAGGCCATTTCGTCAACAATTCTATTTTCCCAATACATTTTTTGGTCGACAACAATGTTGTTGTCAACATTGACATTAAACCATTATTGATCTTATGCATAACATTTGGAAGAATTCTCCATAAACCACAATGGAGTACATGATCTGCTACAGCAAAATTTTTGGGATTTCAGAAAGCATTGGCGGAAAAAGAGAAAGAATCTCTTTAGGAGAGATTCTCCCAGTGTGGCAAAACCGGACGTGGTCCAAAACAAGCGTTTTGGCTTAGAGGGTTAATGAAACCGTAGGCTCTCGAACATTCGATCACACATACTTGAGAGAGAGAAGAGACAAAGACGATTGGAAGACGATCTCGTCGGCGGAGCTTCAGCGGTGCGAGCTAAAGTTGAAAGTGAGTGATTCGGTCAGGTATATCTCAATTCCCGGTTATATTCTCTTTTTTTGTGAACGTTGAGGCAAGACACCAGAGTTGTGGTGCTCTGCTAGTTCTTTTTCGTTCTTTCTTCGCCGTTAGTCGATTGTCGGTGACTCCCGCAAAAATGTAGGGTCCTCGGGACCAAAATGAACCAAATTGAGTATAAAGTAGAAAATAATGATTCATGTTCTATTATTAATGAATGATACATACTTATAAAAAAATATAGAAGGATAGAGACAAACCCCTTTACATAACGTCTAGCCTAATAATGGGAGGAAACATGGCTTAATTACGGGAGGAAATGATGCATTTAGGTCAAATCCTATATACACTCTGCTCCTATAGATGAACATGTATCCAAATGTAGTAGGTTTTAGTCTTTTCCAATGGTGCATGTGTTGTCTTCATTTTCTTTGTCAACATTCCCCCTCAAGATTGGAACTCGATATTCAATGAGTCTAATCTTGGAGAGAAGCTTGTCTAACACAAGTGACTTGTGGCTTTGGTAAGGATGTCTGCAGGCTTGTCAGAACTCTTGATGTATGTGAGAGATATGATTCCTTGCGTAACTTTCTCTCGTATCAAGTGACAATCAACTTCTATGTGTTTCGTTCGTTTATGAAACACCGAGTTTGTAGCGATGTGAATGACAGCTTGATTGTCACAATGCAGTGGTATATGATTTGTATTGTTGATGACGAGGTCTCGTAACAAATCTCTCAACCACATGAGCTCACATGTAGTGTTTGCGATTGCCCTATATTCCGCTTCAGCACTTGATCTTGCCACGACACATTGTTTTTTGCTTTTTCACGACACAAAGTTTTCTCCCACGAACGTACAGTACCCCGACGTTGATTTATGGTCGAATTTATCACCTGCCCAATCTGCATCACAATATGCGACAATGTTCGAACATTTGTTCGTTCCATCCACACACCTTTGTTTGGTGATCCTTGAGATACTTGAGTATGCGTTCTACCATTCGCCAATGATGTTGACATGGTTTGTGCATCCATTGACTGATCTGATTAACAGTAAATCCTATATCAGGCCGAATAATACAAAGATAAATAAATTTACCCATGACTCGTCAATATCGTTCAACATCCGTGAAAGGTTCCCCCTCGTGGTGATTCTTGTAGCTTTCCTCAATTGGCGTCTTGGCAAGTTTGGAACCGAGTTTTTCTGTGGAATCAAGTAAATCAAAAATGTATTTTCGCTAGGAAAGAAACGACCCTCTACTTGTTCGAGTAACTTCTATCCCAAGAAAATACTTTAATTCTCCCAGGTCTTTGATATCAAATGTTTGCTTCAAGTATTCTTTTGTACGAGCAATGTCATTCTTATCATCTCCTGTGATAATAATATCGTCAACGTAAACTAAAAGAGAATGATAATACCCGATTCCCTCTGAAGAGTGAAAAGGGAGTGATCCGATTCACTCTTCACAAAGCCGTGAGAAGTAAGAGCATCATGAAGCTTCTTGTTCCAAGATCGTGGCGACTGTTTCAAGCCGTAAATTGACTTCTTGAGCTTGCATACTTCGTTATCAATGAAGGAACTTTCAAATCCTGGAGGAGGGAGCATATAAATCTCTTCTTCAAGATCGCCTTGAAGAAAAACATTTCTCACGTCCATCTGCCAAAGATCTCAATCAAAGTTAGTGGCAACAGATAAAATAACACGGACATAGGAGATCTTAACTGTAGGAGCGAATGTGTCGGTGTAATCTTCTCCGTATATTTGAGTGTATCCTCTAGCAACAAGTCGTGATTTGTAGCGTTCAATGGTTTCATTGCTGAGGTATTTTATCTTGTACACCCATTTGCATCCAACAACTTGTTTATCTTGCGGAAGAGGTGCAATATTATCTCCCAAGTGTTATTCTGGTGGAGAGCTTTAACTTCTGCAAACATAGGTTTTCGCCATATGGGATTATCTTTGGCTTCATCATACGATCTTGGCTTCATGTCATGGTCAAGTTTACTTAAAAACACTTGATGGTTAGAAGGAAATATAGAGTAAGAGGAATATTGCTCATTAGGATAGGCTACTGCATGCCTATTTGAATGTTCACACACGCATGTCTTTGGAGCTTTGGGTCTAGTGCTAGACGAGGTAATGGAGCTTCTAAATTGCCAGAGTCATTAACAATGCTCTCTTCTGAGTGTGTGAGCATTTTTTAGTGATCTACAACTAGTGGTGATACATTGTTTACCACATCTTGGTCATGATCAAGATGTGATTCCTCGACTACGGGGGAGGAGAGAGGGGCATCGAAGTCAGGAGCTATCTCGTCATCAAGAACTAAATCATCTGGATCATGTGATGGTGAGGGATCCTCAGTCGCACTTAAGGGGTCCAGCATAGGTGCAACATCGGGATGTGGCTCAAGAAACGAATGAATGATTTGACGTTGAGCAAAAACCCGATTCTCGTTGGGTATTGTGATCTCATCCAGGGCATTCCAAGGTTGCAGTGCAAAATAGACAGTATCTTCGTCAAATTTAACTTCTCTAGATGATATTTGGATGCGATTGTTGATTGGATCAAACACTTATAATCCTTTTGAGTAATAAAATATCCAAGGAAGACACACTTTTCGGGTCCAACTTGCTTCGTTGAGTTTCTGAAACAAAAACATAGCAAACACACCCAAAAACCTTTAAGTGATTAATAAGTGGTTTCGTTCGATTGAGTACCTTAAACGGCGAAGAGTCCTTAAGGCATTTAGTTGGGAGAGGTTGATCAAGTAACATGCAATCACCACAACATCTCCCCAAAAACGTTTCGACACATTACGAAAGAACATTAGAGTTCTAGCAACATCAATGAGATGGCGATTCTTCCTCTCGGCCACTCCATTTTGTTGTGGAGTGTGCGCACAAGATGTTTGGTGGACAATCCCATGCTGGAAGAAATAGTCTTGAAATTCTTTGCTTGTATATTCACCATTGTTGTTGGTCCGAAGACACTTAATCTGTCTATTGTATTGAGTTGAGACATATTTGTGAAATCCTTTGAAAATTTCAAACACATGTTCCTTTGAAGGTAAGAGTGTTAACCATGTATTTTCGAGTATTCATCTATGAAAGTAACAAAATACTTTTTATGATCACGAGTAGAGAATGGAGCGGTCCAAACATCAGAATGAATAAGAGCAAAACAATGGTCATATGTAGTTTGAGAAGTCGGAAATATAACACGACAATGTTTCTCTAGGACACATGCCTCACATTTTCTATGATCAAAACTAACATGTGGTAACGATTTTTTTAAAGCATTGTGATGAGGATGTCCTAGTCTAGCATGCCAAATAGAGTGAAAAGCTGATGAAGAAACATAATCCAAATTGTCTAACACATAGAGATTTCCTCGTGCGACCCCTTTTCCAATTGTTTGTCTCGTCTCAATATCCTGAAACCAAACTTCACTAGTATCAAAAGAAACTGAACAACGTAGATCAATACATAGTCTAGCAATAAATATTAGGTTTGTTGTGAACTCAAGAAGGAAAAGAGCTCGAATCTCTTTGTTAAGCAAAGTTAGAGCTCCTTGACCTCGTATACTTATGTTGTGACTATTAGCTATTGATACACTTCCATAAACTGGTTCAATGTGTTTAAGAAGTGAAGCATCAAAAATCATATGGTTCGTAGCATCTGAGTCAAGAATAATGGGTTTGTGACAAATTTGAGTAGTGAAGAAGACATTACAAGATTATTTTCTCAACCTTGAGATATTGCATGAGTGCAAGAAAATCTGCTTTGGTGACCTGACCTGTTCTCGTTGCACTCATGGCGTGATTCTTAGTTCCAACATCTTTGAACTTTGTAGTTTCAGATGTGGATAAAGGACCCAACACTTCGCTTTTGGATGACCAGGGCGTTTGCAATGGTCGCACATCATATTTTCTTTTCATGAGGTGAGGGATTCTCTTTGCGATAATGAGTAAGTTCACTTGACCCTTGGAAAAGTTTTCTGTTACTTTCTTCCCTTTTAACCATTGCACATAACCTCATTGAGAGATGGAAGTTTCTCTTGTCGATGGATATGGTAGATCAATGTGTTGTACGCACAATTGAGAGAAGAAAGTAACGCAAACACATTGTCTTGTTCGAGTCTCTCAGCAATAACCTTCGGATCAACCGACGGGGGTCGGAGATCGCTGAGTTCTGCCCGAATCCCATTGAATTCCCCAATATGTTTGTTGAATACCTTCTCTTCTTGTTGGAGACTATGCAAAGATTTCTTTAATTCATAAATACGGGTCAAGTTGGATGGATACATTACCGTAGATATTTTCAAGGGTATCCCATAACTCCTTTGCATTCTTGATGTGAATGTAACTGGACAGAACTTCATGATCCATCAAGCTATGTAAGGTGGCAAGAGCCAATTGATCCTCTTGATACCATTTGGTATTTTGGTCTGTTGTTTTTCTAGCTTTGGAGGTGTCTTCATCAATGGACTTCCTTTTGTTGTCCAGAGACACTTCTGTTCCGACCGAGATATGAGGCCAAAGCCCCTTGCTGCTCAATATGATTTGAGCCGAACGTGACCAGAGAGAATAATTGTCACCGTAAAAAATGATAGAAATCAATTTGGGATATGAATCCGTTTGTAGACAAAAGTTATATATATATATATATTTGGAGAGTTGACAGTAAAAATGAAATGAAAAAAAAGAAGAAGATGAAGATGATCAAAGATCTCGCTCTCATGAACCAAATTGAGTATAAGGTAGAAAAGAATGTTTCACATTCTATTATTAATGAATGATACATACTTATATAAAAATATAGAAGGATAGAGACAAATCTCTTTACATAATGTCTAGCCTAATAATGGAAGGAAACATGGCTTAATTGGAAATGATGCATTTAGGTCAAATCCTATATACACTCCTATAGATGAACATGTGTCCAAATGTAGTAGTTTCTAGTCTTTTCCAATAGTATACATGTTGCCTTCATTTTCTTTGTCAACACCAAAACTCGTTAAAAACTCGATGTTATTTAATTTTCTGCACAAACGAACGTCGGAGACGAAAACGGGAGGGAACGTTTCCACTGTAAAAAACAATAAAGCCAAGAAGCTCTATCTATGTTTGAACACACCTTGTGTATACAATATAAACAATCAATAGCAAGTGGGGACTTCGGTTCGAAAATTTTGTTTCACACCGATCCAAGTTGGTCTGAACCAAATAACATACAGTTCAAATTTGATATATTTTTTTACAGAACCGAATAAGTTATTCCCGAACCGAGCTATATAAATATCAAACTGAATCTATCAAATATTAAACCAAAATCCAAATTATTTAATGTGTAAATATTATGGCTTGGTAGTATTTCTAACAATACCACTTTGAACCAAACCATTTAACATTCGTTTCTAGTTTGATACATTTTTTCATAAAACCAAAAATATCATTCTCGAACAGAATCGCTTGAATATGGAACCGAAAACCGACACGTCCAGCCATAAGCGAGTGTTATCCTGCCAACGTACATACACACGTAACACCTCGTCTTGAGCCATGCAAATTTTGTTCTTAAACCAATACACAAAATAGTTTTTGTCGTCATGACCTAACGGGCCAATATTACTTGGACTCATCAAAAGGAAAGTGTTTGGTTGAAGTTAGTTCTACGTTATTTCCTGTCAAACCTTCACATCCTTCTCCCTCTGCCTGCAATTAAACAGTTATTAATGGAGCAATTAGTTTGTAATTACGATTCCCTAATCCAAATGGATACAACATTACCTCTTCTTTTCCTCTTAGCCGTGCCCTTCAACTCTTTGGTTTCTGTTCCATTCTCGCTCTCGTTCTCTTTATCACCTCCATTTGCACAGAAATCGTCGTCGTTATATACTCTGATGATATAAACCTAACAAAGGCATAAAAAAATAAAATTTGGGGAATGAGTTTTCATCTAATGCTACAGGGAAGTTCTTGGTAAAGCATCTCAGCATTAAAAAATGCTCGAGACTTGTTTCTAAACCACGAGTTACTTCCACTTTTATGTATATGCCCATGGTTCGTGGGTTAGAAAAGTTCAAGATATATATATTTGTTTTTGATAATCCGGAAGTTCACCACAACCTTGGTCCAACTACATCTTTCAGAGTACCGGAAAAATCCAGCTGAATGCCTCTCCAATGTTTGGATTTGAACCGGGAAAAGAGAATGTTTTGCATGTTATCTTACCACTAGATCACCAAGTTTGGGTAAAGTTCAAGATATTATGAGTATAATGGTATTATTGTCATTATGTAAATCATTTAACCTACGATTCCCATTGTATTTTCACTAATAAAGTACGCTGAGAATATTTACCTCACAGTTTCACTTAACCGTTTGACTAGAATTATTCGCATAAGCCTTGGTCCAATATACTAAAAAATAGATAAACAGAAGATTCGGGTATCAGAATGTTTACCTTAAACTTGGTCGGAGCAACAAGCTGAAATAGGAGGGCATCTCCATCGACGAGTCCGTGATTGATGGAGAAGCCTCTCCATCCTCCGCTCAGCCCATTTTTCTCGGCCAGATACTTTGTAGGGAACTCCTCTCCTTCTTCATCAACCAAAGTGACCATTTCGTCACATTTTGGTAGGTGCGCCTTGCAGAACCGCAATGGCAATCCCTGTGTTCGAATTCAAGAGGGAAGAGGCAGGTGAATCAAAGAGAGAAGAGTACCAGGGAACGTGAGAAAAATCACACAAAAAAACCATTTAACTAACTAATTTATGCCAAATCAATATGTGAAACTTCTAAATATAACCGCAAATATTAAAGTATTACGAATCCACACATGAGCAGTAACTTCACCATTGTCACCATGGATGACTTCAAGGTGGTACCAAGTCTAGAATTCTTCCGAAAACCTGAACCGTCCATCCCAGCAACCTTGACGAATCTAGACCGTCCGTTTCACTTCTCCACCTGACTAAGGCGGCTATAAATAGGCCATCCTTATTTGTATAGATCATCTCCGCCTTGTACTCACTCAAACACTCTCCTTTGTATATTTTCCCAATCAATACAATCGCTCGTTGTTTTCTTTCCATTATCTTCCACTGCGTTAATTCTTTTAAGGCTTAGTTCCATCCAAGTATCTAAGTGTCACACGGCTTGAGGTCCAAACATACTATAAGATTTTGGCGACCTACCACTAGGGGTGGTAAAATAACCAATAATCGGGGCAAAGTTAACCGATTTCAAGCCTCAAGTTGGGAAGGGGAATGCAAATTCTAATCACATGGCTTGCTCCCGTCCCTATGATTAGTCTGGCACTCAGTCCAGGACATCCGGTTACCAAAAAAAGAAGTTAACCGATTTCCTGATATCAGATGAAGTTGGATTTAGATTTAGGTTTGTAACCGAAACTACCCGTAATCAGATTTGGATTTCGTAGCTTTATAGTTAGAGTATCCAACATAACTAGAAAAAATATACTTTACATTTATTAAAAACTATAATTTTTTCCAGTATTTCTTCAAATTACGAATTATCCTTGAATCTTTCTTGAAAATTAAAAGAACATCTCTAATATTTATTAAATATTAGAAAATTATTTAGCTTTTTTTTTAGATTTGGTACCAACGGTTACCGAAATTTTTTTCGGATATACGTGACCCATATGTTTAGGATCAGATTTCAAATCTGATATCCGATATGTTTGAATCCGGATTCGGGTATCAAAAAACTTTTTGGTATCCCGATCCATACTCCACCCTACATACAACACAATTTTGTGAAGGGTCAAAAATTCATTATTTCCTTAGACGATGGAAAATGGTGGAATATCAAAACTGCAACTCCTAAGGCTTTTACCACTTTAACTCGATCTTTACCTACCAGCCAGAATCCTCCAGTGACATGAGATTGAAGCATTGGCTTAACAAAGCTCGGGAATTCTGGTTCTAAGTTTGACTGAAGCTTCTTAACCCTGTCAATAGCATACGCTCTCTCCTCATCCGAAGCATATTTTCGATTCAGCAAATCCCTTCGTCGGTAGGTTCTGCAAGCAGAATCATAGAAACAGATTATGAACAAACGGTGATGGTTTGAAAGAATTTGTATTCGACACCGAGATTGCGTTAGTTGACCCGACCTCCGTGGCCTATGCAGAAGTTCTAGTCCAAGCTGCAAGAGAACAAACCAGGAAGTCGAGATCAACACCTTGTTAGAAGCAATAATGGGAAGCAAACCAATTTTAACATCACACCAACCCCACTTTGACGAACAAGCATCCAATGCAACTAAGATCTGGGTTCAAGACCCACTGACCCAGGCTGAGAAGATTTTGATAAGCATAGGTGCTAACTTCCGTTGAAGTTCCAAAATCTTCTTCAAATGAAGAAAAGAGAGCAGAAACATTTCGGTTCACCTGTTTCTGAGGAAAAAGGAAACTCCTTTCACATGAATTTCTGCGGTAGACATCTGACTACAGATTAATACAACCCTAGCAAGGAAAAGGACTCGAAAAGCGAGTCTGCACTCTCGATTGATCTCACAGGTAAGAGATTTCCGGTTCATGCTACAAGAATAGTATATTTCCAACTAAACAACACCAGTAAAAAAATGAGCATTTTTCATCAACAAAATCAAATGGTAAAATAGAGCAAACCCATCAATGCCAATCTCCCAAAGAAAATATCTAAACTACTTCAACTTTCTCGTGAAAATAGTTTGTTCGATGATCAAATAGGCAAATAATCTGTAACCAATATCGAAAACATGATCCCATTGTCAATAAATCGGGACTCTTAATTAAAGGAGGGCACCAACTGAAAACCTCTGTGTAATTCAGGTTTAGGGTTAAGGCTAAACCTCTGTGTAATTCGGAGCCGGCTTGAGCGCCATTCGGCTCGACCTCCTGACTGCCGATGAGTCCACAGGCTGCCGCAGCGCTCGTGGCTTCCCTCTCTTCATCTGCACTCACACAAAACCCACAAAAAAGAAGTTCGTCCATTGCCTAAGCTAAAAGAATTGGCATTTCAAGCAAAATCTGAAGAAAATCTTCCGAAACATCAAACCTCAGAAAATATTACTGAAAAATAAAAAATGAAAAACCCAGAAACAGAGAAAATCAGGTGTCGGTATCCAAATCGTGTTACCTACCGGAGACGGCTTCAGAGAAGAAGAACCGCGAAGAGCCTGAGCGAGCTTGTTGAGATTAAGCTCCTCCATTCTCTTCTTGTTCTCTTCGAGCCTCTTCAGGCGAAGCTGCTCATAGTTCAGTTCCGATTCCTCCATTTTTTTTTTCTAGGGTTTCTACGATCTCTGATTTTGAAGAGGAAATGGGAGGGAAGGAAGAGGAAAGAAAAGTGTTTTTTTTTCACTGGGCAACACCGTTGGGTTTTATTATGGGGAGATGCATCAATGATCAATCTCTACTAAGTACATCGTTTTTATTTTGAATTTTTTTGTTCTTTAAAGGTTCAATAGAGAAAGTTTTTATTTTGTAAATTTAAATTTTTAAAAAATTTAGAAAACTAATTTATTGAAAAAAATTAATTAAAAACCAAAAAATCTACTTTTTGGATTTACAAATATTATAAAAACAAAAAACCAAAAGTTAAGATTCAAAATCTAAACTAAAAACTAAACTAAAAAATTCAAAATAAATAAAAACTATCATAACACAAAAAATCTAATTATTATTATTATTATATATGATTAGAGAATATAGATGTCAATGGGTTTGGCTCAATCCATTTAGATTTTAAAGATAAACGGATTAGATTGGCTCGATCCGTTAATAACAATGGATTGGGTTGGATCGATCCATTAATAACAATAGATTGGATTGGGTCGATCCATTAAACCTTTTTAAATCTATTTATATATTCATATACTAATTATATATATATATATATTATTAATATGTATACTCATATAAACTAGGTATTGATATTTTAATAATCAATTCGGTTTATAAGATTCAATAAAAATATATACGAAATCGGATATTATATTATATTAGGTAGTTTATGAAAAAAATTATATATTTTCTTAAAAAAAATCAGATTTTTTCGAGTTTTTTTTAAATTCGATTCGATTTGATGTTTTAGAAATATTGCCGTTTAGATTTTTTGAACGGTTTGGTTCGAAAACAACATCGAGTTTTTCAATACGTTTGATTCAAAAATGGTACTGAGTTTTTCGGTATGATTCGAGTTTTTTGGTACGATTCCATTCGGAACGGTATCGAGTTCGTTTTATACGATTCAAATTTTTCGACACGATTCGATTCATAAATGACACCGAGTTTCTTGTAACGATTCGATTCGGAGCGGTATCGAGTTTTCAATGCGATTCGAATCGAAAAACACACCGAATTTTTCGATGCGATTCGAATCGAAAATGGTACCGAATTTTTCGATACAATTCGATTCGAAAATGACATTAAATATTTCGATTCAATTCATATAGATATATATGTATATATATATATATATATCTATATGTGCTAATATTTATATATCTAAATATAACAATTTTAATTAGTTATGAAATAAATTTAATTTTAACTAAGTATATAACGAGGATTTAATGAGCTAACCATTTAAACTATGGGTTTAATGGGTCAAAATCCATTTAACCCATTTTAAAATTTTAGTCAAATAAACTAACCCATTGGAGTTTATAAGTAGTTCGGGTTGGGTCAACCCGTATAAACCGATCCATTTTGATATCTCTATATACGGTTTTTCTTGGAAGTGTCCATTTTATTCTGTCATTGTAGTTCTACTAGCTCCTTGCGACTTGTGATAGCCTTGACTAGTTCTATTGCTAAAAGACAATTTTCGTGATCAATCGCCCCTAGACAACACGCTGTCCAGTTCGGTAAGATAAGTGCATGAAGGACACTTTTGCGTTTTGCTGCAAGGACTTTTGATGGCCTTATATATTGTTTACAATATGTTATACGATTGAAATCTAAAAATCGTTCTGTTACGTGGAATTTGTGTTTGAAATATAAACTATTAAAATGAACCATGAAATTTTGGGTTTTGGACTTCAAAGATATATTGACTTTATTGATGGATCTGAGTTCTTAAGGTGTTGAAGTTCATAGGTATCTATGGACATCTCTCTCCTTATCCTATAAATAGTGTAATAGGGATATGCTAAAATCACGGGATTTGATTGTATCATGTGTAGATTACGTTAGATTCTCTTCTCCTTGATTCAAACTTCTATATATTTATACAAATCTCACTGTTAATGATAAGAAAACATTTTTCCAAAACCCTAAACTTGTTTATAGTATCAGAGCCACCATCACAAGACTTTTTTTTTTCCTACTCCTCTGCCCGCCTTATCTCTCAGCACACAGACGTCGTCACTGTCTATGACTCGTCCGCCCCTGCTCCGCCTTCCTCCCTCCTTCGGACGTTGTCTCTCCTGTCCCTGCCATGGCAGCCAACACATCCTCCAGCACCTCGGCTCTCCCAGTCGACACTGTCACTCCCTACAGCACTGATAGCCCGCTCATCAACATCAACGTCTCCAACGTCACCAAGTTGACAGCAACCAACTATCTCACCTGGAGCATACAGATCCGTACCTTACTTCAAGGGTACAACCTTGATCTTTTCCTCGATCCGGCTCAAGATCCATCTCTGACAGTCACCGCCGGCACAACTGTCGCTCCGAACCCTAACTTCCAGCAGTGGTTCAGACAAGATCGTCTTGTCTTCTCGGCTTTGCTCGGATCCATCTCCGGGACTTGTCAGGCGCTTGTTGCGTCCGCTGCTACGTCTGCTGCTGCGTGGACGACATTAGCTCAGACTTACGGCCGATCGAGCCAAGGTCACGTGAAGCTTATCAAGGACCATATACGTCGATACACGAAAGGTACTAAAACCCTTGATGAATACATGAATTTCTTCAAGGCAAAAGGAGATGAATTAACCCTACTTGGAAAAACAATGGATCACGAAGATCTCGTTGATCTCATTCTTGCCGGCCTCGGTGATGAGTACAAACCGATCAAGGATATTGTTCAAGCTTGGGACACAATAATCTCTTTTGTAGAGCTTCATGAAAAACTTTTCAGTCACGACATTGATCTCACGGTTACGGCTCCTCTCCTAGCCACGCCAGTCTTGGCTCATGTTGCTCAACAAGGCTACCGTCCCTCCTGGCGTCCTCCGGCTCAGAATGGTCCTCGACAATTCCCAGGCCCGAAGTCTCCTCGGCCATGATTCAGATAGAATCGCGGCTCGGCTTCTTGATCACCTCGGCCATACCTCGGCAAGTTCCATCTCTGTGGCATACAAGGCCACAACGCTCGGACATGTCGTCTCCTCCCGTCCGCCGGCAATACTTCCCCGGATCAGCAACATCAGCTTGCTGCCATGCCTTGGCAGCCGTCGGCATACCCGGTTGTAGTCACCGCGCCACTGAATCCGTCATGGCTCCTTGACTCCGGTGCTTCGCATCATGTCACTACCGACCTTGCCAACCTCTCCATGCACTCTCTATACCTTGGAGGTGATTAAGTCACCATCGGAGATGGTTCTGGTCTTGCGATAACACACACGAGTTTCTCTTCTCTACCCTCGCCTCATCGCCCTCTTTTGTTACAATGTCCTTTTTGTCCCGTCTATGCATAAAAACCTACTGTTCATTCACCAATTATGTCAATCTAACAATGTTTCGGTCGAATTTTTTGCTCGTTATTTTCAGGTGAAGGACAAAAAACGGGAACGACGTTAGTAACCGGGCCGCTCCGTGATGGTGTGTATGTTTGGTCGTTTTCTCCTCCTTCGTCTACCTTTTCCAATAAGACGTCGGTTCTTGCACTTTCGAGTGTCAAGTCTTCTCTTTCGCATGACACTCTAGGCTAGGTCATCCGTCGAAAGACGTCCTTAACTTTTCATTTCAAAGTTTTCTCTACCATTGTCGCATTCTTCAAACCGATCGAGTGTTGTCTTGTGAACCATGCTCCATTAATAAAAGTCATAAGCAACCCTTTTCGATATCTTCGATTTCTTCTTCTCGTCCACTCGAAATTTTATATTATGATGTATGGACCTCTCCCATTCAATCCTTTGACGGGTACAAATATTCCGTTATTTTTGTCGACCATTTCACCCGTTACACATGGTTCTATCGCTCCGTCGAAAATCTGATGTTTTTACAATATTTACTCGGTTTAAGCCTCTTGTTGAAAACCACTTTAACACTAAAATCGTCACCCTTTATTCAGACAATGGTGGAGAATTTCTCGCACTCCGAAATTTTCTATCGACTCATGGTATTTCTCATCTTACAACACCTCCTCACACACCCGAACACAATGGCATGTCTGAACGTAAACATCGCCACATTGTTGAAACGGGTCTCACACTTCTTTCCCAAGTTTCCATTCCATCCAAGTTTAGGACCTTTTCATTTTCGACCGTCGTTTATTTAATAAATCGGCTTCCGTCTTCGGTAATCGGCCATCGCTCTCCCTTCGAGCTTCTCTTTCACACGATACCGAACTATACCAAACTTCGAACCTTTGGTTGTCTTTGCTACCTGTGGCTACGACCCTATACTCGTCACAAACTTGATCCACGCTCTACTCCTTGTGTTTTTGTTGGTTATTCTCTAACACAAAGTGCTTTTCTTTGTCTTCACGTGGCCACGTCTCGTTTGTACGTCTCCTGTCATGTCACCTTTGTCGAAACCGAATTCCCTTATTCTACACTTCTCTCGGCTTCTCTTCACTCCTCGGCGCCGCCACTTCTGTCCGTGGCTGGGCCCACTTCTCTCGTCCCGATTTGGCCGCCGACATACACACATGTTGTGACAACCCAGAGTACCGTAGGAGGGCGGGGAGTGATCGCCGGTGTAGAGGCACGGACAAGGGGCGGCTCCTGACGAGCTTCTGGGTAGGGGGTACAGGGATGAATCGAACACACCGGAATGAGAGAGATTCGAGGGCTATATAGGTATGAGACTATACAGTCTAAGATAACATAAAAGAATTAGTTGAGCTACTCATAGCAACAAGGTGCACCTACCTTTTTGGTTGACTATCCCGACAGAACTCCAAAGTTAAGCGTGTTGACTCTGGAGCAATCTCAGGATGGGTGACCTACTGGGAAGTGTCTCGGTATGCATGCGAGTGAGGACAAAACACGCTGAAAGGTCTCGGGTTGCTGTGTGAGGGCAGTTTCGACAATTCGTAGCGGCCTCGAGTCGTTACACATGCGCCCACGCCGATCCCGTGTTCTTCTCCTTCGCCACCGCGAGTGACTGATTCGCATCCATCCGCCTTCTCCTGCCTCCTCCAACAGGTATTGTCACCAAATCCTTCGCCCACCTTGCCCGATACTCATGAACCTGTCACCTACACAGCCCATGCCGAGTCATCTTCCTCCGTACCCGAATCGTTCGCCGACACCCCAACAAACAACCATCCCATGATCACTCGCTCGAAAAACCATATTACCAAACCTAAGGCCAAAATCTCCATGTTCGTAACCTTAGACCCTAGCCGAGATTTGGAACCAACGTGTGTTTCGCAGGCTTTGAAGGACCCAAAATGGAGAAGTGCAATGACGGAGGGGTTCAATGCCCTGCTACGCAATGACACATGGAGCCTTGTACCACTGCATGACTCTTACAACGTCGTTGAGTGTAAGTGGATTTTTCGGACTAAACATTTATCTGATGGCTCTGTTGATAGGTACAAAGCCCGTCTCGTTGCCAAAGGCTTTCACCAAAGGCCTGGCATTGACTACACTGACATTTTCAGCCCGGTTATCAAACATGCCACGGTTCGCGTTGTGCTGAGTATTGCAGTTTCAAAGGGTTGGTGCCTCCGACAGCTTGATGTCAATAATACCTTTCTTCAAGGCACCCTGCAAGAAGACGTCTATCTTGCTCAACTGTCGGATTTTGTAGATCGTGATAATCCCACATTTGTGTGCAAACTTCACAAGGCTTTATATGGGTTCAAGCAAGCTCCTCGTACATGGTACAAGGAGCTATGTCGATTTCTTGTCGACTCTGGGTTTGTTAACTCACTTTCTGACACCTCCTTATTCATTTACAACCGTGATAACGTTATCATTTACATTCTTGTCTACGTTGATGACATCATTATCACTGAAAGTAGCAAGGTGTCGGTACAGGAGTTCATTGATCGGGTGGCACGTCACTTCTCCATCAAGGATCTTGGCGATCTCTCCTTCTTCCTTGGTGTCGAAGTCACCCGGACACACACTGGTCTTCTCCTTAGCCAATGAAGATACATCTCGAAAATTCTCTCCCGTCACAACATGTCCACGGCAAAACCAGTTCTGACCCCGATGCCATCCTCTTCGGCGTTACACCTTCACTCGGGCAGTCCACTTGACGATCCTGGCGAGTACCGTCAAGTGTTGGGCAGCTTACAATACCTCATCTTCACCCGTCCTGACACTGCCTTTGCCGTCAACAATATCTCGCAGTTCATGCATCGTCCAACTACTGATCATTGGTAAGCCGTGAAATGGATCCTTCGGTACCTCAACGACACTCGAACTCTCGGCA